ACTTACTCCTCTGCTTATTTGATAAAAAAACTTTTCTTTGATGGGCGTTGCTTTTAGTGCCTTGTACTGGTGGTAACGGGAAGAGAATTGTACTCTTCAACATAAATATAGTTGTTGGCTATTTTCAATAAGTCTGCCAGGGTTCTAAGTTGTCGCAAGTCAAGTGAATAATAGAAGGGGCCCTCCCTCAACCCTTGGGCCAATGCAACATGGAAATTTGCTGGTTCGAGGTCTCTAACCTCCAAAATTTCTCTTCGAAGGTGAGTAACAAAAAATTGCAAAGTATCTCTTGGTCCTTGAAGAATTCATAACAGTGCTTTTAAGCTCTTCTGCAACCTCTATGCATTAACAAATTGCACTATGAAAATGAACTCGAAGTCTACATGGGAGGTAATTATCAATAACAACATACTGTTAAATCACTTGAGCTCCAATTTCTTTAAAGTCATGAAGAATGAATAATACTTCAAAGCATAATTTATCCTAAGTAAATAGACAATAGACTCGAACGATGCAATGTTGTTAGAGGGATCAAATCTCCTTCAATAAGATTCCAAGGATATAATTTTAAATTTTGTTGGTGCTCTTGCTTCAAAGAACACTTAGGAAAAAGCATTCTCTAGTTGGTATAGTATGGAGTTTCAGTTCTTCTTCTTTCATACTCAGACGAGGCTGAAGTAGCATTGTTAGGATAGTAAATATCATCCTCATATGTTAGAGCAAGTGATGGTGTTCCTATAGTGCCAACGGTGAGTACCCTTTGTCGTATTGCACTATAGGAAAACTGGCATCAAAATTAGCTTCAAACTCAATTCCAACGCAAAATTAGCGTCTAATTTGTGTCTGTTCAGTGTCGCGCGCCGTTTTAAGATTAAAAATTTCAACGCAAAAGAATTGTGTCAAACCGATGACGTTGAATCGACGTTGTAGCGTTGGATTAGTGTCATCATTGTTTGACCCTAAATTTACTTATTATCGTTGGAATTATTGAACTCTAATTCTGAAGATAAAAGCATTTATGCGGGGATAACGTCCTTTTAGCGTCTGAATTTTCCTACGCTTTTAAATTACTTAATAACCTTGGAAAATTCTGACGCTATTTCAGACGCAAAAGCCCTAAAAACGTCCCCCTTCCGACCGAAACTTCATTTCCTCTAAAATTCTTCTCTATGCAGTGCGGGCGGCAAACTGTGACTCCTAGGTGAATCCGACAAAATTTGGTGATTCCAGCCATCTCGAGCGACTTCTGGAACTTTTCCACCGGCCAAATCTTGTATCTTTTAAGGTGAACTCATTCCTAAGCTTTTGATGCTTTTTTTTCTTTTTAATCTTTTGATAATTTTTTTCTTGAAATTTTGAAATTTTATGTTTCCCTTTTATGTATATTTCATGTTTAGGTGTTATATCTATAATGCAAATATTTGATGTTGTTATCATGTGAAAAACCTTTTTTTTTTTTAATTTGAAGTTTAGGTGTTAGACAGATAAATACATAAGGATAGACGTATAAATACATAAGGATTGTGTGATATGCATATCTATTTTGAAAAAAAAAAAAAGATAGGTGTTACACATGTAAATATGTAAATAGGTAAAAATTGTGTGGCACGCATGTATATTTAAAAAAATGTGTAGAATGTATGTTGATTAATAAAACTTAAGTATTAGACATTTAAATGGGTAAGAAGTGTTTAGCATAGTAGATTAAGAAAATTTTAAAACTTAGCTGTTAGACATGTAAATACTAAATACGTTAGAATTATGTGGCATGCAGTAGAGAGAGAGAGAGAGAGAGAGAAGTGAGATAAAAAGGAGGAGGGTAACACTCGGTTTAAAGGGTGAAGTAGGAATTGGGAGTTTCTGGCGAAAGTGTAGGAAGTGGAGAGATGAGAAGATTGGGACTTCGATTGGAGAAACAAGGAAAGAAATGGGGAAAGAAGTGGGTCAGCATACTATATTCAAACTTAAGGCACAAATCAAAATTATTGGAATGTCATACTACATTCTTTGATTAGTCTACAAACATGCTTAACACAAGAAAAGATTACACACACACACACACACACACACACACATGCAGAGAGAGAGAGAGACATATAGTCATATACTATTGAATGTATTATATATTGAAGTAATTCTAGTTTATAACAAAATAAACATAAAATCCAAAATCCAAACTAAGCATGATACTTCCATTCCCAATCTCTCGAAGCTACTCAACAAGCTCCAATGCATTCTCCAAACATAAGCTAAACAAGACAAAACTCACACTTCTTACTCCGGCTATGATGGCTATGAGGGAACAAGGATGAGCTCTCACTATGGCAGTGTGTTTAGATTTCTTCTATGTAGTTGTTGGACTAAGGATGGCAGGAAGAGCAATAGGGTTTAGTTGTAAGAAAAAGGATATGCAGTGCTGAGTTGTTGAGAGGCATGTTGTCTGCGATCATGTGAGCGTAGTGGTTCGCATTAGTGATGGATATGAAGGGCGACTAGACATAAATAATTGTTTTCCTTTTCCTCTCCTCTTTTTAGCTTTTCCTCAAGGTTTTGAGAGACTTTTTTGCATGTTTGTGGGTAATAATATTGAACTATATTGATTGTTATATTTCATATAACACCCAAGCTTCTTTTATGTAGTTAAGTTTGCATGCATGGTGTTGTAATTATTAGTTGTAGAATAATTTGATTATCACAAAATAAGATGGTACTTTCATCTTTGTTGGTAAAACTTATTTGCAAGTTGGTTTGGTGAGGAAATCTAGGCTAATTTAAACAGAGCATGGGTATCTCTAGAATACCAAAGAAAAAGCCAAACAAATCAGTAGAATGCACTCCACATTGGAAACAAAATTCACCTTCTAAAAGTACTACCGAAGATTGATAAGATTATCTCAATATTCAAAAGCTTATAAATTTATGTAATTATGTGAAATATATTTTTCTGATCTTATCATGCATGTATACAGGCTAAGGAGCTTGACCGAGCGACATCCACTGTAGAGTCGCATGTCCTCACATATCGGCGCCTAGACACACAGTAACGGGTATCCAACAACTCTTGTCGTGTTAATGTAGATAAAATATTTAATTTTATTATTTTTTGAGGGACTTTTAATATTTAAAATGCTAATTAATGTTTGAATTTTATTATGCAGAAGGAGACAAGCAACTTCGGGAGAGATAAGAGGGAGATGTATAGCCAGACCTCGCCAGCCGCCAGCAGCAGTGCTAGCCATTTTACCACTGCTCAATCCGATTTCGAGCTATGGATGCAGGCGACGGGGAAGAAGGAGAGGGTGAACAGCCTGGGCTCAAAGGGGATAACATTTGAAGTCGAGCGCTCCCATGCAACGATGGGCGGTCATAGCTTGTTACAGGCTGAGCATGAGGAGCATGTTAGACGGGTCATGATGATGAATAAAGAGGTCCAACATATGCGTGAAGGCTAGCAGAGGGTCAAAAATGGTCTATCACACGTGACAAAGAGTTTTAATCATCGGGGCAAGCAGCGTATGAGTGTTGTTGAGGAGGATGAAAAACATGATTAGCTTTTTTATTATTTCTTTGTTGATGTTCTCCCGCCATAAGGGTTAATTGTATATTTTTTACATTGTTGCATTTTCCTTGTTGATATAGTTATGAACTCGAATATTGAACACTTTGTTTTATCTATCTTTAATTTAGTTTGATATTTTTTTATCAGTTTTGATGATAGATAAATTTCATAATATGTCGCTTGTGTTTATTTATCTAGTTGTGGAAATCTAATTGTTATGTTGTATTTTTTTTTTCTACTTACAGGTTTGCATCGAGTTAGCGTCGAAATATTTCGATGCTAAATAAACAATATTTTGTTTGATACTTGACCACGCAAATTTAACGCTAATTGGTGAAAAAGCGTCAGAATTGGTTGACGCTAATTAGGGTTGACTCTGGTGGGCACTAATTCCAATCCCGAAGCTAAAATGATATTAGCCTAGCGTCGATCAATTTTTCGATGCAAATTCGCAGCGAAGGAATCTTCCGATGTTAAAAATTATTCGACGCAAAAATTAATTAGCGACACCGATTTTAATGTCGTAATTTTTTTGACGCTAATATAATGCTAAACTCAATTGACATCGAAAATAGGCCAATTTAGTGTAAGAAATGTCTGACGCTAATCCTGTATTTTCCTGTAGTGTTGCAGCTTCTGGATGAGGAGGAAGTGCATGTCCCATGACATCAATGCTAGCATCTCTCTTATCACCACCATTATCTATTCTTTCAATTCATTGAATTGCTAAGTCAACTCTCAAGTGCGGTCCATATTGCTAGCAACTTTTCTATTATTTAATTATGCTCTTACACAACTCCTTTTAGTGTTTGTGATATGATCTACACTCGTAGTACCGTTTATGATGTTGGATCATGATTTATCAACAAACTCACACCTCAAGTAAAAAGTTGGGAAAGAGAGAGAATGGGCTAGACGATAAGGAAGTCTTTATTTCTTTTGGAAATATGGATGGGAAAAAATGTCCATTTTACATGATTTAAGCTCTATTTATACATTGTCTTTTCATATTTTACAAGACTAACTCATTACACATGTTCCCCAAAGATCCCTAATTGATCAATTCTTGTATTCTTATGACTTTGATATTATAATTAACATTACCCTTAGAGATTGAGATAATTTGGCGCTAAACAATTCGACCTTAGGGTGAGTTGTCCTCTTTTACTGAGCTGATTTCCCAAACATTAAGCCGGACTTGGTCCCTTTTGCAAGTAGATGAATGATCTCAACCATACTTGACACTCATGAGTTGATCAAGGTAAATGAGTTGATGACTCATAATCATCAACTCGACAGCCCATTTCAGTCGTTGAGCAGCGAAGGAATCGAGTCACTCGCCTTAACCCCCTATCTGACCCTTGAACCAAAAGTCAGTTAGGCAACGTTAATGTGATTTTTATGACTTGCGCCATATAATAAAACAAAATTGATTTGTTGGAAAATTTACTGATATTATAGCTTTTACAAACCATACAATATATATAAACATATTGTTGAAATTATGTATGGATGCATGTCTTCCCTCTGGAGCAAGGAATTGGCAAAAAAATAAAAAGGATGAAAGAAGAAGAAGAAGAAGAAGATGGCATATACCTTCCTTACGTGCTCTGCTAATTAATCAATTGATTATATTATGGTGACCTCACATAGCGGCCGCCCGCGCTCGCATACATGGCATGGCGCCGAAACTCATTCTACGGCGCGGCGACCGCACCAACCCTCTGATCTGGGCGCTCGCCATCATCTGCGCGGGCTTTGCTGTGGCCGTCATCCTCATCGGCCTCGTTATCTTTGCCATCTTCCTCGTCTACCAACCCAAGACCCCTTACATTAGGGTTTCGACCGCCCATCTGGATGTCCTCGACTACGACCAGATGGGTCTGCTGACCACTCAATTGTCCCTCACGCTTGTGGCCGTCAATCCCAACATGCGAGCGCACGTCACTTTGTCGGAACTGGAGTTAGCCCTGCGCTTCGACGAAGGGGGGATCGAGCTGGCCCAGCTGCGAGCGGAGGATCTGAGCGTGAAGAAGAATGGATCGGCAGCGCTCAACTACGTGGTGAGGTCGGAGGCGGTGCCGCTTGATGAGACGGCGAGAGAGGCAGTGGATGCGTCCCTCAAGGAAGGGATTATCAGTTTCCGATTGGAGGGTCAGGTCAGAACCAGGTGGAGGGTTGGAGTCTTTGCGTCCGTCAAGCTGTGGACGCGTCTTTCCTGCGCTCTAAGATTCGGGGTTTTGAATGGCACCGCCGTCCGATTACACTGCAGCTCCAAGTCTCACTGATCGCCGCCGCCGCCGC